CTCAAGAACAAACTTGATGCATTAGATACAAATGACCAAAGACCAGATGAGCTGTGGGATTATATCAAGAATATCATAGAGGAATGCAATAGATCATTTAAAACACAGAAAAGAAAGAAAAGACCAAAATGTATCAGAAGAGACCCTGAAATTTGCTCTCCACATAGAGATGCTATATCAAATGGAAGAAATGAGGAAGTCAAAGAGCTAAAAAAAAGTTTCAGAGGGCAGATGAAGAAAAAAAGTATCATAATGACATGTGAAAAGGCCTGAAGTTGGAAAACCAAAAGGGAAAAGAACACACTCAGCATTTCTCAAGCTGAAAAAAACTGAAGAAAAAATTCAAGCTGTGACGTACAATTTGAAGGAGTCCTGGTGTGGCGCTGTGTGAGTTAATGCGCTAGACCACAAGGTCGGTCTGATCTGCAAGGCTGGCAGTTCAAGCTTACCTGACGCTCCTCAAAAACCCTATACAGAGTTACTATGAGTCAGAATCTACTCAAAGGCACTTACTTAACAACAACTGACAGGCGCCATATTAATTAAGGAATTAAAATGAAGGAATTGAGACATATTAATCAAGGAATTGAAATAAAGAAATGAGACACGGGGGACCCTGCGCATGAAGAGCTCATTGTTCTAGCAGAGCGACAATGAGTGTTTTCCTTGGATAGCAGAGCTACAAGGAAAAAAATATTCTATGCATAGGCCCCTAGTTAATTTTTTTTCTTTTTGAATCATTCTGATTTATTCATGATTTTGTTAGTATCCCTTTACTTTAGATTGACTCTCCTACACTTTGTTGTTGTTGTTGTTGTTAAGTGCCGTCGAGTCGGTTCCGACCCATAGCGACCCTGTACAGGGTTTCCGAGGGTGTAAATCTTTACGGGAGTAGAAAGCCTCATCTTTCTCCCGCGGAGCATCTGGCAGTTTCGAACTGCTGACCTTAAGGTTCGCAGCCCGATTCGTAACCACTACGCTACCAGAGCTCCTTCCTACACTTTAGTATATTTTTATTACAAGTTAGAAGCCATATATTAGCTACATTTTATTCTACTTGTAATCATGGGTAGTTTTGATACTTATATTAACAATGTTCTTAAGATTGCTAGGAGACAGGATTTGTCAATTGAATTACTACCAGTTTAGGCTTAGTGATTGTAAACATTCTTCCTTGTAGCCTTAGTTTGGGACAATAAAGAATCCTTAAAAGCAATTAGACCAGATACTAAATAAAAAGTTTGACTTAGACGTTCTTAAATTAATGATCAGTAAAATAGGGGAATTGTTTTCATGGCCTCAGTTTCTCTGATAAGTGATGTTTTTGTAGGCAATAAACAGATAGTGTATGGAGGAAGTTAATGAAGTGTTAATTGCACCCAACAATTAGGATTGATGACTTAAGACTTAACAAAGTTCAAGAAACATATGTGAAGGTTAACTTGCTTCTCAGAGAAAAGAATAGAAGTTATTTATGAACAAATGTTTAACTAAAAGGTTTTAAGGTGCCAGGATGTCTCGTATGTGTTGATGCAATGTTTCTTTGCTGTAACTTCTCATCCCTGTTGTAAATCTAAGGGTCATAAACCATGAAGAACGTGCCCCAGAATAGATTGTATTTTGAGGATATTGATTACTATGAAAACAATGTTTTTTTGTAACAGACTGTATTTTGAGGACATTAATGACTATGAAAACAATGTTTTTTGTAATGGTATACAAGGGGGTTGTAAAACAGAATAAGGCAGAAGGAAAAAGTAGAGGTAAGTAGAGGAGCAGAAGGAAAAAGAATGGCAGAAGAATAAAGCAGGAGAGGAGAAGGAGAATGAAAGAGCAGAAGGTAAAAGGAGAAGGGTAAAGCAGGAGAGGGGGGAGTAAAGAAATAGAAGGAGATTAAAGAAGCAGAAGGAGAATGAAAGTAGAGTAAGGAGGCAGAAGGGAAGTAGACAATGGAGTAAAGAGTGAGAATGGAGGTGGGGGGGAGGAGAGAAAAGAATGAGCAGAAGGGTAAAGAATGATAGGATAATAAAGCATGTAAGAAGAAGATTTTGAATTCATCAGGACCTATCAACTGTGTGATTTCCTTCTTTTTCGCCGACGCCATACACCTCTTCGGGAACCCTGGAATAAGTTTTCTGGGGCTGGCTCCCGGCAAGCAACAATGGGCAAAAAGCAGTCAATAAATCAAACAACCTATTCCATTAGGCAAATCTGCTGCACATGTCCTCTTTAAAGTGTTCCACAGCAAAGATGGCAGTTTGAGGACTAAAAGGGCACCTGATCCAAGCGATGGTATTTTCAATAGCCTCATAAGCATGTGAAAGTTGGACAATGAAAAAGGAAGACCTTAGAAGAATTAAGATATTTGAGTTATGGTGCTGGGATGAGTATTAAAGGAACCATGGACTGCCAGAAGAACAAACAAATCCGTGTTGGAAGAAATACAAACAGAATGCTCCTTAGAAGCCAAGATGGCAAGACTTCATCTCTCATACTTTGAACATATTATCTGGTGGGACCAGTCCCCAGAGAAGGACATCATGCTTCATAAAGTGGAAGGGCAGCAAAAAAGAAGAAGACCCCCAATGAGATGAATTGGCACAGTGACAGCAACAATGGGCTCAAGTATAGCAGCAATTGTGAGGACAGCACAGGGCCAAGCAGTGTTCATGTTGTTGTAACCAATGCAATGGCACTCAACAGCAATAGGCAAAATATTGAATGACGCAAAAAGCATCAAAAGAAAATGGAAACAATACAGTCACTGTACCAAAATGAAATGGTCAATGTTAAACTGTTTCAAGGGGCAGCATATGGTTTTAGAACCAATGGTAGTGAAGGAAGAAGTACCCAAAGCACTGAAGGCATTAGCAACAAACAAGGCTCCAGAAATTGGTGGAACACAAGTTGAAATCTTTCAACAAACTGAAGCAGCACTGGAGGTGCTCACTCATCTATGTCAAGAAATTTAGAAGACTACACAATTTGGAGGATTTGGAAATTTGGCATTAGGAATGGACGAAGACCTATTAACAACCTGCAATATGTAAATGATAAAATCTTGCTTGCTGGAAGCAAAGAGGACTCAAAATACTGATGCAGGTCAAAGACTACACCTTTCAGTATGGACTGCACTTCAACATAAAGAAAAAAAAATCTTCACAACTGAACCAACATCATGAAAAATAGAGAAAAGACTAAGGTTGTGAACCTGGCCAACCAACTCAACGAGACCCATATCTGTGCCCATTCCAGAGATAAGGGACCCAACAGAATACAGAAATCATCAAACAGTATCACTAATATCACCTGCAAGTAAAACTTTGCTGAAGATAATTTGAAAACAGTTACAAGCAGTACATTGATAAGGAGCTGCCAGAAATTCAAGCCAATTCAGAAGAGAACATGGAATTAGGATTATCCTGCTGATATCAGATGGATCTTGGCTAAAAGGAGAGGCTACCAGAAAGATGTGTACTTGTACTTTTTTGACTATGCAAAGACTTTCAACTGTGTGGATCATGACAAGCTATGAACAAAATGCCAGAGAATGAGTATTCCGGAACACTTAAATGAGTTAATGAGGAACCTGTACATATACCAAGAGGCACATTGGAACAGTACAAAGGGATATAACATAGTTTAAAATCAAGAAAGGTGTGCACCAGAAGTGTATCCTTTCATCATACTTGTTCAATTTGTATGCTAAACAAATCATCTGCAAAGCTGGGTTGAAGAAGAATGTGGCATCAGGATTGGATGAAGACCTATTAACAACCTGTAATATGTATTTGATAAAACCTTGCTTACTGGAAGCAAAGATGACTCAAAATACTGATGAAGGTAAAAGACTATAGCCTTCAGTATGGATTGCATCTCAATGTAAAGAAAACAAAAATCCCCACAACTGAACCAATAAATAACATCATGATAAATGGAGAAAAGATGGAAGTTGATAAAGACTTCATTTTGCTTGGAACCACAATCAAATTCACAGAAGCAGCAGCCAAGAAATAAAACGATGTGTTCCATTAGGCAAATCTGCTGCACAAGACCTCTTTTCAACAGTAAAGGAATCAGTCTGAGGACTAAAGTGCACCTGACCCAAGGGATGGTATTATCAATTCAATAATTCACTGTCCAACTTTCACATTAATATGAAAATGTTTCAACGCTTTCATAGTTATGTGAAAGTTGGACAATAAATAAGGAAGACCACAGAAAAACTGATGCATTTGAGCTATGGTGTTGGAGAATATTGAAAGCACTGCTTCTTAGAATCCAGGATGGTCTCACTTTGGACATGTTATAGGGAGGGCCCAGTCCCTAGAAAAAGATATCATGCTTAGAAAATGGAGGGTCAGTGAAAAACAGGAAGACTCTGAACAAGATGGACTGGCACAGTGGCAAGAAGCAATGGGCTCCAGCATAACAACAATTGTGAGGATGGAAGAGAACCAGGCAATGTTTCACTCTGTTGTGCATAAGGTCGCTGAGTCAGATTTGACTCGAAGGCACCTAACAACAATCACAGAATACATGGGAAAAAGATGTGACAGTCTGTTTCAATTTAATTATTTACGATCTTGGATATGCTGTGGGGCAGTTATACTCTTTTGACTACAGCATTGCTACGAGTTGGAATTGACTCAATGGCAGTGGGTTTTATCCCAAGATCTTCCAAATTAAGATAGTCAAGTACTTTTCCTATATTTCTAGCAAGCAAATAACTGGCCCACTTGACCCATTGCTATCACATCAATTCCAATTCACAGTGCCCCTATAAAGTAGAAATGGGTTCCCAAGACCATAAATCATTATGGAAGCAGTCTACCACATCCTTCTCCAGTAGAGTAGCTGGTGGGTTAGAACCACAGATCTTTCAGTTAACAGCCACAAGCACCATCAAGACTCCTTAAATAACTGATAGATGCAGGAAAAAAACCTTTACATGATAATGTTCAAATTTAGGTTAACAGTGACAAGGCAGGGGTACTCACATGATCAAAAAAACATACTACAGCAAGCTTTTTGCTGCGCCTGGTATAGACACGCTGCACTTTGGCAATTTTGCTAAAGTGGTTCTCCAAAATGGTTCTGTCATTGAGATAATCAGGTACATTCTTACACTGGATGGCCGTCAATTCAGTGGGAGACAAACCCCCAAGGCTGTCGGTGTTCTCACTTCTTTTACTCTGACGCACAGGTGTTCCAAGTCTCAGAGAATCTGGGGGATCAGAAAACCAGCATCAGATGCAATGCTGTCTAACAGGAGGCAACAGCTGTGTGAAAGCAAAGGAAGGGTTTAAGACCCCTGAAACTCTATGAAATGTGAGGATCCTTATAGTCTACAAAGAACACCAAGCTAGCGCCCAGCAAAACAGAAAACCTATCAGCAAGGTTTATTCTATTTTATGCTTTTTAGAGCTCACCTTCTTTTTTATTTCTACCTTCAGTTTCTTCTTCTTTATTCACACCGGAATGCCTAGAAAGCGCCAAAACAGACGGACTCCCTCCTGGCATGGCCATGTGGTCCTTTTCCTCATACTCAACACAGCCAATTTCCTTTTTAGGTTCTTTGTTACCCAGTCGACTTATTTCTTTATTGCTCTTCAAGACATCCTGTAAGGTTCGATCAAACAAAGTGCCTCCCCGGGGCCGGTTCAGGCGAACAGGCCGCTTATCTGGAGGGTGGTCACCCCGGGACAGAGGATCCAAGTCTTCCACTGTGTCCCGGTCATGTCTCCTTGGGGAGCGGTCCTGGTCCTCCTTCCTTTTCAGTCCTTTCGTAAGACTGGGAAGTGGGTCCATCTGTGAGACAGCTTCTTGGCACCCTTGTCTGACACCTATTTTGCCTCCTGCAAAGGAGTCACCTAAAGACCCTGAAGATGATATGGGGAAGCTAGTGAAGCTACTATTAGAACTTCCAAACAGTGATTTAGGGGCTCTCTTCTCTTCCTCTACATTTTGGTTTGACAAAGCAGGTGCAAAAGCAGATGAGGAATTACTACTAATAACTGGCTTTGAAAAGGTGAATTTTGATTTGGTAGATGAGTTACTTGTCACTTGAGGAAAAGAAAAAGAGGCCAGTCCCCCAGATCCACTACTAATTGGGTGGGAAAATGTAAAACCTCCAGAAGGAATTTGGCTCTGAGTTTTCTCTGGCTCAGATTCAGCCCCCAGTATTGGTCTGAACACTGCATTTTCCAGAGGCTTAAAGCTGAATTCTGTTTTTCCAAAGCCAGAGCTTGCTCTTTCTCCAGCTTCTGGTCCAAAATGAGAAGTACTTGGGAAAACCCCAAGGTTGGTGGGTGATTTAAAATTAAATCCTGGGTTTCCTGGCATAGATGAACTTGAAGGCCCAGAGGTAGCTACAAAGGTGGAAGTGGGTTCATGTCCAGAAAAGAGTCCAACACTTGGTGTTTGGGAAAATCCTAATGCTTGCACTGAAGAAGAATGACTTACTCCAGAAGATGCTGGAAAGCTTGACACTTGTGAAAATCCTGAACTTTGCCCAAGTACTGTATTGCTTTGTCCAAAAAGAGAAGGCTGACCAAATCGGAATGGTGGGTTGGCATTAAATGCTCCTAAGGAACTGCTGGAAGTTGTTGAAAACACTCCAGGCTGCTGCCCACTGAAAGGATTTGGAGGGTTCATCTTCTAGCCCTGTTACTGAAAGGTTAATGGGTACTCGGTATGCAAAATCAGTCCTTTTCCTTAAATAGTCTGTTGAGCTAGGAAGCTCGCCTTCATCTTCACAATAAACTGAAAGACAAAAATTCATATCATCCACTACAGATATAGAATAAGTAAAATAAAAAAAGAAAACAGATGTCATAGTCTAAGGATAATCATTTAGAAAGAGGGCAAAGGGAGGGGTTGAGAATTCTTATTTTTTTCGAAAGACAGTTCTTTTTTTAGAGGGCAGAGGGAGAAGGGGTGCAAAGAACTTTGTTGCTATTGTTAGGTGCCATCCAGTCGGTGCCAACTTATAGCGACCTTATGCATTAGGTAAGTTTAAAGTGTAGCCCTTTACGATTTAAAAATAAAAAAACTTCGATCATTTTACTGAGTTGGTCAATTAAAAAAAAAAAACTTCAAACAATAACAATTGCCATTACACTTTCCAACTTAAAGGAAGGCTTTCTCCTGATTCCTTTTAATCGCCATAGCCTAAGAATTACAATGTAACACTATTAGAATATTAGTGTTTCATTATTTCCTTCTAATTTTCCTCCTAATGACCAGAACACTAAATTCTTCTCCCAGGAATGGAAATATTTTGAGTGGGTTTTTGTTGTTTTTTAACATCCTGGCAACTACTCCAGGAACTGGCTCAACGACAAGAGCGCGCTCACGGAGATGCGGTCTCTAGATGGGGAGGGGTTGGAGGCAGGGGAATCTCACCCAACACGTCCGGAAAAATCGCCGAAGGACGAGGCCGCGCGCCGGCTGGGGCTGCCCCGACCAGTCCTGCTGCCGGGTCTCGCTGCGGCCGCTCGCTCCCCAACTCGCTCCGTTAGCGATCAGGGAAAAGGCGGAAGCGGGACTCCGAGCCGCGCCCGATCCTCCGGCGCTGCGCTCACTGTCAAGCCGCAAGGGCACCTCGGCCCGTTGTTGCCGCTGCCTGGAGCCCCTTTGGTGCCAAGTGCAGATAGGACTCGGCAATGGGGTGCGGCGGCCGGAGCCAGCACGCCCCTCTGCTCGGCGGGCAGAAAAATGCAACGAACGAACTTCCGGTCCGTTTGACTCTAGGTCCGCAGCGCTCAGGTTCCGCTCTCCCGGCGGGCTTTCATGACGGCTCGGCTTCCGGTGAAACGAGAGCAGCCTGCGGTCTCCCCACCCGCTATGGCCGGCCCTTGGCCCGGCGGTCGTCTGGCGTCGGTATGAACGCGAAGGACTCCTTGTCCCCAGAATGCAGACTGAACACGCTCCTGGCGTACTACCCGCGCTGAGCCGTCCCTTGGAAAGTCCCAGAGACCTACCGCACTTCAGCCTCCCTTCCTCGCCCCTTTCCTGCCTTTATACACCTCGCTGTAGGATAAGAACTGGACCTCAAGGTCGGTTTGAACCTAAAGGTTGGTGGTTCAAACTCACCAGCCGATCCTTGGAAACGTTATACAGGGTAGCTCTGGTAGCGTAGTGGTTACGAATCAGGCTGCGAACCGCAAGGTCAGCGGTTCGAAACTACCAGCTGTTTCGCGGGAGAAAGATGAGGCTTTCTGCTCCCGTAAAGATTTACAGCCTCGGAAACCCTGTACGGGGTCACTATGAGTCAGAACTGACTCCACGGCACACAGCAATGAGTCAGAACGGACTCGAGGGCATTTAACAATCCCCTCATCCACTTCATTACACCCGATACCAACCCTCCAACCTCTGTACCCTTTTTTATATCTTATGGTAAAATGCAAATTCCGGTAAAATCCCAGTGAGTTTTACCAAATAAAGTAGTCTGTGTGTTTGTTGTTAAGGGCCGTGTTTCTGCAGAATTTATTACCAATTTCTAGTGATGATTCGTCTTCTTTTAAGCTTTGACCACAGATCCCTTTGCAAGGTCCCGGACTTTGTTGAGATGAGTTTGGTACTGAGAAATCTACAGCGCGCAGTTCCCATTAGGAGAGTCCCTCTGCGCAAGAAGATTGAGATCCTGAGGAGCATCTTAGGAGTACAGAAGTTTGACCTGGGAGTTATCTGTGTTGACAACAAGAATATTCAGCACATTAATCGAATCTACAGAAAGAAAAATGTTCCTACGGATGTGCTTTCTTTTCCATTTCATGAGGTAAAAAATATTATCCTCCTCTTACTCAGCCTAGCTTCCAGAGCAAATTTCTAAGCCTGAATAACATTTTGTTTTAAGATTTTTTTAATTACGAAATTTCTATTTAATGTTGTTGTTGTAGTTAAGTGCTGTTGAGTGGTTTCAGATACATATCTGGTGGATTTGAACTGCCAACCTTGCAGGTAGCAGTCCAGTGATTTTTTTTTTGTATTATTATTTTGAAGTTTTTCAAATATATACAAAAGTAAAGAGAACAGTTTGATCAGCTCCCATTGATCAGTTTCCAACACCCAGAGGTTACAGTACAAGACAGGAAAAGGAAAGGTGGTTGAATTCTACCTCTTAGCTCCTTAAGGTTACCAATACATTTAAAAAGAAGGAAAATGCTTCAGTAATTTTAAGGGTGCATCAGTAATAAATATGCATGGATTTAAAATTTACAATAACAGACTGGGGTAAATATTTTTGGCAATTAAGATGTGATAATTACCAGGTAGTTATCCTATGCCTATCAAATGTATAACAACTCATAGCAACTCTTGTCAGGTTCTCATCTACTTTATCTAATTGACTTGGCCAAGGCCTCACATGCCGTTAGTAGTAGCATAAATTTAGAACAACTTTTTGGAAAGCAGTTTGGCAGTATATTTCAGTAGTGTTTAACTGGGTGCAGTCTTACCATTTTTTTATTGCTATCATTGTGTCGAGTCAGTTCCAACTCATAGTCACCCTGTATAGGGCTTCCGATGAATGGCTGGTGGGTTTGAACCATCAACTTTATGATTCTCAATGCTTATCCAACAGCACCACACCAGGACTCCAATTGCTCTGCAATTAGTAGAAAATATTTGAGTTTTCTTCTCTAGCTGGTTAATGCTGTATACAAGTTCTGGCTTTAGCAGGTTTTATTGTAGATACTACTTAAGCCACTAATACCACACCTACAAAAACTGAAGAAGAAAGAAGATAATTATATAAAAACATTTACTTGGTATTTGTAAGAGGAAAAAAAAAATGCAAACACCCTGAGTACCCAGCCATGTATGACTGGCTTGACGTGTCTTCCCAGAAGAATGAGATGGTCTTTATGAAGACTGTTGTTGAGGGAAAGGAGCCCTAGTGACACAATAGATTACATATTGGCCCGCTAACTGAAAGATCAGTCACTCCATTGGGCTGCAAACCCAGCAGCCACTCCATTGGAGAAAGCTGAGGCTGACTTCTCTAGTAAAGATTTACAGTCTCCGCAACAGAGCAAATTCTACTCTGTTCTATAGGGTCACTACAAATCAGACTCAAGTATATGGCAATGGATTTTTTTTTTGGTTATGGAGGGCAGAATACCAAACAGAAAGAAATATTTGAGTCGATGAGATGCTTGTTGTTATGTGCCGTGGAGTCGGTTCCGACTCATAGCAACCCTGTACATGGTTTCTGAGGCTGTAAATCTTTACGGGAGCAGAAAGCCTCATCTTTCTCCCGCAAAACAGCTGGTAGTTTCAAACTGCTGACCTTGAGGTTTGCAGCCCAATTCGTAACCACTATGCTACTCTGTAGAATCCTTGTGACTCCACACTGGGAAGGTTAACTAAATGGAAAGTAATTCGATTTCCGAGATGGAAACATTTTAAGCTTGTCACGTGTCACTTGAGTGCTGTGGCTGAGTATCATTGCATCCTCCACAGAGTGCGCTGAGACTCCCCCTGTGGGACAGAATGTGGGGATACAGCTCAGCACAGAGAGGGAGCTCTTGTCTACCTTAAGGGGAGTCCTCTGTTCTCAGCTTTTTAGGAGACAGGGTTTTACAAAGTGAAATCTGTCAGCCTGTGACCAGGTTACTGATGTCATTGATGTGGTATTCTCCAAGTCTGTATTTCTTCATGTTCAGAATCTGAAAGCAGGTGAAATTCCCCGGCCGGCCTTGCCAGATGACTATAACCTGGGAGACATCTTCTTAGGAGTGGAGTATATCTTCCAGCAGTGTAAAGAAAATGAAGACTACTATGATCTCCTGACTGTAAGTGTTATGCTGAATGGTCTGTCCTGATTACTGAAGTGGACACTCATGCACACATGCACCGTGACCACCATACCAGCATCCGTGCACACCTATGGGGTACAGGTATAAAGGGGGAGTTGTTGGGAAAAATACACAGCCATGGACAACAGAATCATGTAACACCTGGCTCCCATCACCCCAGAGAGTGAGTGGGGTCTACTTGCAACTGGAAGTAATTTCTGAAGGGCTTGCATATTGCCAGATTGTCTCCTAAATCTTTTTTAAAAATTACTTTGACAGGTGACAGCCACCCATGGGCTCTGCCACCTTCTGGGGTTTACACATGACACAGAGACCGAGTGGCAGAAGGTATGAACTGAGCTCCTGACCCTGGCTGTCAGCCTGCCTGTGCATGTCCTCAGCTCCCACATCCCCATTGCTCCCATGTCTCAGTCCCCGTGCGTACAGACATGGCAGCTGGAGCATCTCAGGAAAAGCAACCACTATGAACCAGGCTCAGAAAGTTGCCTCTAGCAAGGCCAGGCCCTCTGAGACCATAGTACTCCCTGGGTTTCCCATCTCATCTCTGCAAGCCCCAGCTTAGGCCAGCACCTTATTTCTCAAGAGGCATCTGACACTTTCCACTGATTGGCTCTCCTCACATACCCCACTTTATACCCATCTGGTCCCACCTCTGTAAGCTCCTCCCACTGTAGGCAGGCCAGCCTTCCCCATATCTCCCTATGACCCTCTCCTACCAGATGGATCTATTCTCTGTGCACAAGTGGCCTTGAGTCTCAGCAGGGACAGGCCTCCCTGGGAAGGGACTGCCTTAGTCTCCTAGTGCTGCCATAACAGAAATAACCACTAGTGGGTGTCTTTTAAAAACAGAAATTTATTTTCTCAATATTCAGAAGGCCAGAAGTTTGAGTTCAGGTGTGACTCTAGGGGGAGGTCCTTTCTCGTCTATTTCAAATTCTAGTATCTGCTGAAATCCTTGCTATTCCTGGGTTGTAGATGCATCTGCCTCACTGCCTGTCTTCCTTTTCCACTTGTATATCTGTGTCTATTTTTTTTATAACTCAGAAGGAATTTGGTTTAGAGGATACCATACTCTGATATGACCTCCTTAACATCACAAAACAAAACCTAATACCAAACCGGACACGTTCACAGGTACAGAATCATACTAAAGGGACACAAGCAGTCCATGGCAGGGACCAACCCAGGGATGCTGGCTACAAAGAGAGAGTGGGATTCCCCCCGCCCCAATATACACAGGAGCTGGTACCTGGACATACTGTAACAAGTTCCTCTACCTCTTCCAGATGTTCCAGAAGGAGAAGCTTGTCCTGGAGGAGCTGAACCAGCACATGGGCACCAGGCTGCAGCCTCTGAGCAAGGGCCTCTTCTGACAATGTTCTAGGAGTGAGAGACAACCTAGGACCCAGGGACTCCAGCAAGGACAGGCCAGGCCAGCAAAGGTGGGCCCCTCCACCTTAAATCTACCGTAGGATCTTTGAGCTGCTGCCGCCCTCTGGGGTCACGGAAGTTGCCAGCCCAGTTGGATTTAAATCAGAAAAGTGCAACATGACTATTAACTATATAAGATTTGTTTTGTGTCATTGAAATAAAATTATTTCTAATTCCATTAGAACTGAGAGATGAGCATATAAGCCCCACTTTCTTTGGGTCACTCTAGGACTTCATGTGTTCCGTACCAAGGAGTTTCTCCATCCCACCTGGTAGCCAGGCCTCCCAACTCAACCTGATGGTCTTAGGCCTCTATTATGCGCCATGACTCACAGGGCACAAAAGAAGGCCTGCTCTTATTAAGTGCCGTCTGAGTGACCCTATATAGGGTTTCCAAGGCTGTAAAAGGAGCTCTGGGAGCATAGTGGTTATGAGTTGGGCTGCTAACATCAAAGTCAGCAGTTTGAAATTATCAGCGTTTCCAAAATGTTGTTCTAGCTTATCATGAGCTATACAATCAAGAGAAGGAGAAAGATGAGGCTTTGTGCTCCTGTAAAGATTTACAGCCTTGAAAACCCTATACAGGGCCGCTATGGGTCGGAACCGACTCCACGGCCTTAACAACAACAGTCTTTGCAAGAGCAGAAAATATCATCTTTCTCCTCTAGAGTGGCTGGTGAGCTCAAACTGCTGACCTTTTTGTTTGAAGTCCATTGCTTATCCTACGAAGCCACTGCACTCCCTAAAAAAGGCCTGTTGTTGTTGTTGTTAGGTGCTGTTGAGTTGGTTCTGACCCATAGTGACCCTGATCACAACAGAATGAAATACCACCTAGTCCTATGCTAACCCATTGCCGCTGCAACTGCCAATCCATCTCATTGGGAGTCTTCTTTTTCACTAACCCCCCCAATTTATCTTGCATGATTTCCTTCTCCATACATATTGTACATACATTTGTACATGTCCAAAGTATGAGAGAAGTCTGGCTATCCGGCTGCTAAAGAACCTTTTGGCTTTACTTCGTCCAACACAAATTTGTTTGTTCTTCTGATAGTTAGTGGTACCATTAATATTCTTCTCCAACACCATAACTCAAATGCATCAATTCTCCCACAGTCTTCCTTATTTACTGTCCAACTTTCATGTGCATATGAGGCTGTTAAAAACACCATGGCGCATCTTAGTCCTCAAACTAACATCTTTGTTCTTGAACACTTTAAATAGGTCTTGTGCAGCAGACTTGTGTAATGCTATATGTAGTTTGATTTCTTTTTTCTTTTTTTCAATGTTTTATTGTGAATTATGTGATAGTTTACATGGGAGAGCATTAGTTTTACATTCATCCTATCGTATATCATTTCATTGCCATGGTTACAATCCCTTCCATGCATCATCACCATCCAAAGAGTACACCCTGCAAGGCCGCCCCACGGACGTCAGCACACAGCCCCTCTCCCTCTCTGGGTCTAAAGTCCCCAGCTGCTCCATCTCTCCATGTCATCGTCTCTGCCTCCATCTCTGGTGTCACTGCTCCTCTGGGTAGGGTCCCGCTCTCCACTCTTCTCCCTTGATGGTCCCAGGGACCTCCACTCCTAGACTGCAAAGTTAATCACTCCCCTCCTTGCTACAAAATGTCTACCTTTAAATTTCCAACCCTCACAATCAGTCCTGATAACAATTATTCACTATTGTATCACAAGAGACCTATCCCCATTTCCTTTCATCAGCCCCACCTAGACAGATTGGATACTACTTAGTGGAGATTCTACCTTCCTCCACACCCTCTGGATCTACGCTCCCTCTTGAAAGCTTATAAGCCAGCCACTTACACTTATTGCCTTTGTAGACCCCCCCCCCCCATTTTGGGTAGCCAATGTCTCAAGTTGTCCATCCCTGTCTACTCTGTGTGTGGAGGGAGTAGGAATGATTCTTGCAGTAAGGGTTTTTTTTTTTTTTTAAATAAATGTTTTATTGTGAATTGTGTGATAGTCTACATGGGAGAACATTAGTTTTACATTCATTCTATCGTTTCATTGGCGTAGTTATCATCCTGTCCATGCATCCTCACCCAACCAAAGGGTGTATGTACCCTGTAAGCCTGCACACCCCCCACCACAGTCCTCTGCCCCTTTCCCTCTCCGGATCCCAAGACCCCAGCCACTCCATCTCTTGACGTCATCTTCTCTGCCGCCATCTCAGACCTCACTGCTTCTCTGGGTAGGATGCCGCTCTCCGCTTTTCTCCATTGATGGTCCTAGCGTCCTCCGCTCCTAAACTGAAAAGTTAATCACGCCTCTCCTTGCTACAAAATGTCCACCTTTAGATTTCCAACCCTTACAATCAGTCCTGATAACAATTATTCACTATTGCATCATGAGACCCATCTGTATTTCGTTTCATCAGCCCTTCCTGGACAGGCTGGATACCACTCACTGGAGACTCTACCTTCCTCCATGCCCTCTGGATCTAGGTTCTATCTTGAAAGCTTGTAAGCCAGTCACTTCTTACCTTTGTATCCCTCCCCTCATTTTGGGTAGCCAATGTCCAAGTTGCCCATCCCTGTCTACCCTTTGTGTGGAGGGGGTGGGAATAGTTCATGCAGCAGGGATTTGTTTCCTCTTTTGAGCTACTGCATTTATAGGTGTAGGTCATGTTTATCAAATTGTATCAGATGACACTTTTTCGTCTTCTTTCTTCTTCGGGTTGAGCTCTGTTTATCCAGTCATTGAAGCCAGGTCAGTGCAGTAAGGTTTTGTTTCCTCTTTTGAGCTACTGCATCCATAGGTGTAGATCAAGTTCCTCAAATTGTATCAGATTACTCTTTTTTTTTACTTCTGGTTCAGCTCTGATCATCCAGCCATTGAAGCCAGGTCAAGTGGGTATTATCTGCAAGTGTGGGTGTTCTTGTGCATATGTCCCCTCTTCTTATCAGCTAGACACTTCACTCTCCACTGTAGTCCTCTGTGGCTATGTCATTGACTCTAGGCTGGAGAGTCCCCAGGTCTTGCCACACTGCTGGCCAACCAGGTCTCCACTCAGCTTCACAGGAGTCTATTGAATGTTGTAGGGTTTAGCTCATAGCTTTATTGCTGTTTTTCCCTCACTTCCCCTTATCGGTGACAAATGTGGTCACCAATCAGAGCATGTATTCCCATTGAGTCTTAGTCTTGAAATGGGGTTTGCTCTGAGGGGACCCGACCACTTGCCTTGATGTCTCCTGGGCGAGCTTGTAGTTTGATTTCTTGACTGCTGCTTTCATGAGTGTTGATGGTGAATCCAAACAAAATGAAGTCTTTGACAACGTCAATCTTTTCTCTCTTTGTGAAATGTTATTTATTGGTCCAGTGGTGAGGATTTTTGTTTGCTTTACATTGAGTTGCAACCTATACTGAAGGCTGTGGTGTTTTATCTTCATGAGTAAGTATTTTAAGTCCTCTTTGTTTTCAAGCAAGGTTGTATCATCTGCATATTGCAGGTTGTTAATTAGCCTGCAATATGCCACATTCTTCTTCATAGAATCCAGCTTCTCAGACTATTTGCTCAGCATACAGACTGAATTAAGTATGGTGAAAGGATACAACCCTGACGAACACCTTTCCTGATTTTAAAGTACTCAGTGTTCCCATGACTTTTCAAACCACTGCCTCTTAGTCTGTGTACAGGTTCCTCATGAGCACAATTAAGTGCTCTGGAATATTCCTTCTCCAAAATGTTGTTCTAGCTCATCATGATTTATGCAGTCGAAAGCCTTTGTGTGGTCAATAAAACACAAATAAGTATCTTTCTGGTATTCTCTGCTTTCAGCCAAAATACACCTGATGTCAGCAATCATATCCCTCATTTCACATCCTTGTCTGAATCCAACTGAATGGCTGGCAATTCCCTGTCAGTGTGCTGTTGCAGCCATTTTTTAACTATCTTTAACAAAATTTTACTTGTGTACAATATTAATGATATACTCTGATAACTTCTGCATTCTGTTGGGTTGCCTCTTTTTAGAATGGGCACAAATATGGATCTCTTTCAATCATCTGGCCAATTAACTTTCTTCCAGATTTCTTGGCCTAGATGAGCGAGTGCTTCCAGTGCTGCATCAGCTTGTTGAAAGATTTCAGTTTGTATTCCATCAATTTCCAGAGCCTTGTCTTTTGCCAATGTCTTCAGTGCACCTTGGACTTCTTCCTTAGTACCACTGACTCTTTTATAAAAAAAATACTGAATTTATTTCATATGTGTATTTTTGTCTCCCCACCATTTCCATGTGTCTGACCACTTCTACTACTATGTCGTATCATAACATTCCATACTTACTTAGAACCAAGCAAAGGGTGGAGTTCCATCTTTAAAAACTAAACAGGCATTTTGGACAACGCATTCTTGGCAAAGGAACCTGGACAACATTTATCAGACATGGTATGGAAAGTTCTCACTCTGCATAATAAAAAAGAACAGCCAGATATCAAGTGTTACAGAAATGAAATAAGACAGACAATTTTAACAAACTGTTTAAACTACTTTCTTAAAGAGACTTCCTCTACTGCCAGAGATCTTGCATGGCCTCTTGGTCTGTCATCTGGAAACAATTCTTCACATAATTGACGAATTTGGCTTCCACCTTGTGAAGGGAACTACCTTTTGCTATACTTGCTTGCATTTTTGCTTTAATGTCTTCTACAGAACTAGGTCCTTTAGGTGTTTTTTCCTGTTTTTTGAAGGATTCTTGGCCTTTTGATATTGGTGTTGATGGTTTTGAATCTTTTCCATTCTGGTTTGATTTTTGTGCATTTTTAGTTGGACTATCCCATATAGATTTCTTCACTGGAACTTTTTCTTCGGTTTCATCATCATCTTCATCATTATCGTCATCATCATCATCTGCATCTGCAGCAAGCTTTACTTTTTTCTGTGGAACCTTGTTACCACTTGCAGGGGCAGACCTCTT